CTTTCCTCTTTTTTATCTAAACAGTCCTATTTTCTCGGAAAAATCACGATCTTAAGAAGCGTTAAATTCTTTCGTGGCGAAAGTAGTTGTTCGTGATCTAAATTAGTTGTGTATATCTGTACATCTATATTAGAAGTAAAAAAATAATATGAGAAACTTTTCCATTCAAGTTTTATTATCTCAAGCAATTTTAGAAATAATATTAAGAAAATATATTTAATAATTTGCAATAATATATCAAATATTTATTTCAAGTGTCAATAATTTTTAATAATTTATTTATTGTCAGAGATTTATTTATCTTAAAAAAGATAAAAAAATGTTTATAAAAAATGTTATATAAGAATCAATTAAAATTAGCAATATAATTAATGGCAAAGATTACGAAATGTCGGAAAATATAATTGAAAAATATCTTAGTGAAAAAGAGGAAATCCTAAATGTTCGGAATTCATTGACAACTTCAATCACATCTGCGAAAGGCAATGAACTTCGAATCAACCCGCTGTGACGTTAGTCAATAGTCACCGATGGGTCGACACCAATTACACTAATTACGGTTTCCAATCAACGTATGTATCTCGCGTTAACCGAAAGACGAAACCGCTTATTTAATCCGGCTTTTAATGCCCGTACGCCGTCCGGTAATGTGACAGGCTCGTCGTGTGGTTTCCACCGTGGGTAAAGGACGCTCACTCGCCCTCGCGGGACTCCGATGAGGTTGTCAGGGTCATTCGACTCAAAGGAAGGTTACGTCAAGGTCATCACGCCGGGTGAGGCGGCGATTATAAGGCGTGAATTTGCACCGCGCAGTGGGTTCACCGGACTCGCTTTCGTTTAACAGCCAGGTGAATTTCTCGATCCCGCGCCTTCTCCCTTTCCTTTTCCAAGGATCGCGTAAGTTATCTAAAATTATCTAATGGCGTAACAACACGCAAATTTTATGCGCTTTCGCTTACATTATTGCGCTGCTGTTTAAGGAATTCGTCTCGTATCTGACCTCGCGTGACTTTAATAAAAATTTCAACATTTTTAAGATCTCGGATTTTTCCCCAATAAATATTATATAATAGCTACATGATTCTTTCAATAAACAAAATTTTGAGACATCGGAAAAATAATTGAATCAAAATGCATTTTAAAATAAATGTCTAATGTTTGAAGTAAAAAATTAATTTTAAAGCATTCATAAATAATATTGTGAGATGCCAATGTTCGCTTCCAGATTTCAGAATTTTTTATCATTATTATTAATACGAGGTGGAATCAAACCAATTTTATCCTTGGAGCTCAGGAAAATAGGCGATCTAGCCGCTGATTTAATATGGATCATAATAATAGTGTGCTCCTTATTAACTACACGCTGATTCACACGTTAAAAATTGAACACAAGCTCAGTTTTACGACGCGATTAGAACGCCTCCACCGGAGATTTGAATGAGTCGCGATAAATAGCGGACACGCCCGCGGCGCACGCTTTTTGTTGTAATCAGAAGCCGACGAATTTATTTGTGTGGAGCCGGCTGGGCAGCGTGCGCCGTGTAAAGCTAAGGTAGCCGGCTCATTAATCGTCCGTCGCAGTCGTAATAAGCCCTTAATCTTCCCGCGAATCCGCTACCTGTGAGTAACTGCTATTCCAGAGGCATCGCAAGCTAAGGGAATCTCGAATATCCTGCAAATTTCTGCGTCCTAGCAGTAGAGAAGCGCGTACGAGGAAGAGCACGCGTATCCCGCCGGATAACTAATCACGGTAATTAATCCGCTTAATAAATAAAATTCCCCAGAGACCGGTCATGCCGAGTCGCCGCGACTTACAATTAGTCGCGCGGTCGAGCGCATGTGAGCGTGCCTTAAGATTCTTCTCGGGAGACGACATCGTGTGTATGACTCGAGAGAAGGGTTCTTCTTTCTTTTCTCTTTGCGAACAAGGTTCTTGACCGCTTGGATCAGCGGCGAACTTTTAATGATTAGCTAAGAACACAGAGGTGTTCATAGAATGATTACGTCAAACGTTTCTATCGATTCTTCATCAATAATTTTTCCATTCATATTTTTAAACCTTCTTGACGTACGCATTTTTATGTGATAGGTGATAGGTTACTTACCGCGATGCTCCTGTGGATTTCAGAATTCTTTTTCTTCTTCTTCTTCTAATCTTGCATAGCATTTACACGTTTGTGAAGATACGATCACACGCGCATTGCTCACTCGCGTATCCGAAAATGAAAATCACGCGTCACTTTGAACGGCACTCCCGACACGTGTTTCATTATATTATGACGGAACGAATATGACGAGTCGCTAACATCGAAGTAGCACAGCAATTTATCTGGAAAACACAAATATATTTATATTACAACAGCGTTGGAAAAAAAAGAAATATAATTACAATAAAACTTAATAATAATATAAAATTATTGCTATCTCGTTATGACAGCTCTTACGCAAAAAGAACAATATTAATCTCACATTATTTAAAAATTTCTTGGATGCAAGGTCTTACGCAAATAGACGATAATTAATATGCGAGAGATAGGCAAACTTCGAGGCTACAATTTTGCTCTGAGGGTTAATTACAGATCAATCATGAGCGGCGTCGAGATTTTTCTCGAGCGAGATTATATTGACGCTTGGTATAATACATCGCGCCGAGGAGTGCATATGGCGCCGACTAACGAGATTAATCGCCGCCGAATATGGCGGGTTGTTGCACTCGCAATTAAAGTCCGTTAATAAAGCACCGGAGGCAAATCGTTTCGCACTCGGCGGAATGTGAAAGTAGATAAGTCGCGACCAGTCGTGTACCTCGTGTCGATGGTGCGCGGCGAGCCTCATTATCGGATTTCAGACTTAATTGAGATTAGTTTCGTTAACGGGTTAGGGTCGGACCAGTTTCCGCGGACCCCGGCGATCCGCGCAAATGTCATTATCACGATTAGCAAACTACAAACGCGCTCGGCTGTACGCACCAATTAGAGCGCTGTCTTCAAACTGGGGACCGTGCTTTTTCATCCACGTGCATAATCGCTATCTATAAATATCGATAAGATCAGATCGTAAGCGACCAAGACCGGATGATTACACGGCGATATCGTGTTATGCAAGCTGCGGCTTTTTAATCGTCAGCCATGCTTCATGACTTAATTCAAAGGATAATAAATCAAACTCTTGTCATAATGTAATTAGCCACAATATTAGTGAAGAAATATAGACATTGTGTCGCAAAAGCGATCCTCCTTTCAATAATTTTCCTAAGCTGACTAATCTATTGAACATCAGCGGCCCACGCAACGTTTATGCACGTTATTTATATCGTTCTGCCGCGGCGAAATACTGAAATACTTTCTATCATCGTAACGTAATCGTATATCAGAAAAGTGGATGTCGTACATTAGAAGGCATAGCAAACGGCGACGGCGTTTCTCGAGATGGCGTGACTGCGGCGCTATCGCATGGCAAACCTTGCCGTGCATTATCGCCGATTAATAAGCCTTACGTTCTAAGAAAGCACCTCGGGGTTACGTACTTAGCCGACATGCATCCAACGTTCGTGGATCATTGCAACGAAGAAGAAAGAGAGAGAGAGAGAACGAGCGAGTAAGATGCCCCGGTCTTTAACATCTCGCGCGCGCGTCTCTTACGTGAGAAAGTACGGTCGATCGCGGAATTTACGGACGCGGGAGAGGCGATTTCGAGTTTCTTTCGGCAATCCCAACTACATCTCACGACCGGCAATTACAAGTTTCAGTTTCATTCCAGCCAAGTTGCTTCGCGAGTAAACTCGATGTTAAAGTCAACTTTCTACCGTTTTAGATATCTATATTGTTCTTTAATAGTACAAGACAACGAGTTCCTATTATAAAAAGTAATGATTTTTATCGTAAACGTAATATCCGTGAATTCGTTTGAGTAAAAAAATGATCTCTACGTAAATATGAAATTCTAAGAATTAAATTTTTTCAGCCACAATAAAATCCCAACTCATGCACATTTTTAGTTATCTCTTTCTACTTCGCAAAAATTACAATTTACGTTCCGCAAAAATCAATGGAGTTTAATGGCCGAGGTGACGCTGACTGTTTTCATCGTAAATTACGATGACCGATTCTCGAAGAGACCCTTAGCGCGCATCGTGCAGTTCGACCTTCTCGCACGCTCCCTCGTCGAGGACTCGGCGAAATAATCGACCACGTTCCTGCGTTCCATGTACAGCGCCGGTGTCGGCAGCCGCGGTGGTGGTGATAGCAGCGGCTCCTTGGGCGGGGTGAGTGCACTGTACAGTTAGGATTTCGAAGAGGCGAAGAACATAATGAGAGAAACGTGCTGCCCCCTGACCTGCAAGCCGCACCGCGCTCGGCTGCACCCTTGCCCATATATTCGCATCGAGACAAAATTCTCGTTATGCGATACGGATAACTAGAGGATATGCTTAAAGCCAAGTGCATCAAGATGACATGGACATCCAAGTTTGGAATTGATTAAACCAGAATCTCGCGACGATATTATCTCCGCTATTATACACACAGACACAAGACCAGTTTTTCTTTAAAAGTCCCTTGCGGTGAAACCAATTAATTTGTCTTTGTGTAGAAACTTTGTACGCTGAAACGTAAGGTAGAATTTATCACGATAAAGTGGGGTAATTAACAGCGTGTGTGTGGGATAACGAAAACAATTTTAACATCGCGGACGAAAAAAGAATCGAATTGATATCCTTTGATCGACTAAATACAAAACTTTGTAAAGAATTTAAGTGGAGAGTCCAAGGCATAGTTCCGAGACTTGGTGAAGACTGGATACTAATTATCTGCAAGACCAATACTCGCAATTAATTATTGGCGAGACCGGGGCAACACCGGGGCGACCAGTCTCTCCCGAGGAGCGGAGAAGAACTTCGTCGTTAAAGAATATCTCAGCGTATCTCACGTATCTTCTTGGCGGACAGTTATCGTGGAAGTGGACTGGTACGATTTTTATCCCGCACAATGTCGAGCTATCCGCGCTCGTTATCGCATAAGAGTATTTATAGCGGTATGATCCGAAGATATATTCTCAATGAACGATTCAACGAAAAAAAAA